TGACCTACTGGATTCTATCTCGGTGACATCTGGCGCTACCTACATCTCCCACCTCCTTCGTCTCTCCTCCCACCTTTCATCTGTGTATGTGTGTAGGGGGCCTGAGCATCGTCTATGATTGGCTCAGACCCCACCATCTCACGATTGTTTGTGTGTGGAGCGATATCTGTGTGAGTCAGTCTATGTGAGTCAGTCCATTTATCAGACTTCTGCTGCATACATGCTCATCCTATATTGGTTGATCTCTTGGTTCTGCCCATACTTGTTGAAGTACTCACAAGTATGCAACAGTTTTGGTATCGGAGCAGACCAAACGATGGATCTGCTCACCAGGTAAGTCTGATTTAGGAATAGATTGCTTCTTCGATCTTCCAAATCAGCTCTGTATTACTATTGAGATTCAAAGTTGCAATTTTTTCTTTTTCTTTTTCGGTATTCTGTTTAATCTGGCATTCCGTTTCAATTAGGTATTCGGACTTTCAATTCGGATTTCTGTTTTAATCCGGTATTCTGTTTAATTCGGGTTCCGATTAATTGGTATTCTGGTTAGTCCGATTTCTGTTTTAATTCGGATTTCTGATTCTAATTCGTTATGCGAGGCCACTGCCTCTAAGAGCCACATAAGGCCCCATTTTGCAGCCCGTCAGCCGCCCTAAGTGAAGGCAGGCTCGACGAGGCCCTTAGGGCCCTTTTTCTGGCCACCGCGCAACTAAGGGAAATTCAGGCAGTTGCGCAGCGCCAGTTGGTTGAGTGCACCCAGGCCCTGGGCCGCCTGTATGAATGTACGTGAAGCAGGCCCTGGGCTGGATACGGGTACCGGGCCAAACACAGGCCGAAAGCAGTTGGGCACATGCAACCACTTCAGGCCCAAGGCCTGCTCTCCGCGTGACTGGGCCTGAGGCTACCGGGGCCTACTGGAAGTTTCCTGGACTGGACGCAGGCAGGCCACTTCGATATAGGGAAGGGCCTGCCTCCTCATTCGGGAATTCGGGTGCTGGCTGCATGCTGCGCAAGCGCTGCTGCTGCGCTATTTGCTGGCTGGCGCCTACGCTCTCACGGGCGAGCAGGGAAGGAGCACGCAGCCATAGCCAAGCTGCGCTGCTGTAAGCTGGGTGAAGCGCAGGGTGGTCCTTGGGTGCTAGTGGCATCTGTGAGTTGGGGAACGAGGTTGTGAGTGTAGCGCGAGACATACCTGGTGCTGAAGCGTGCGACATTGGTCGCCATATGCTCGCACTTCGGGAATGCTGTTGATGTCATCTTTCGTCTTCGTAGTATAGGCTAGATAGGATCTGCCACATGTAGTCTGGGCGCTGAGCGCCAATAGGATATCAACTCTGGTTCTTCGTTGATGATGATGGGACTATTTCAGCATTGTCAATTATGAACTCTTGGTGTGTTCTTATTTGATGTATCTCGTGATGCAATTCTGTTGTTGGTTCGAGGTCAAGACTATCTGGACTCATATGTATGATGCTGTTTGATTGCTGGAGTTCGCTATTGCTCATCTTCCTTGCAACTTGGTATCAGAGTTGTGGTACGATTGCGCTCATCTTGCGCTTGTCTTCTGCCTTATGCGGGACATACATGCGGTCTGCTGGGCGAGTTTGGCCGTAAGTGGTGTGTAGTGAGGAGGGTGGAGACAAGTGTGAAGGCGACCCAGGAGGTGAGGGGTATGTGAGGTGAATGTGGTCTGGACAGTGTGATGAGAACTATCTAATGTGCGATTGATGCTGAGTTGGAACGGCGAATAATGCTGGTTGTGCCGATGCAGTGACTGGTCATCGCAATCGCCATTTGGTCATCTAGTGAGATTATCTCTGTGGTTGGGGGCAGCTAAATGAGTTATGTTGCTCTTAACCTTATCTTCCCTCTCTGACACTTCTTACCGTGAGGTTGTGTGTTCCTTCTTGAGAGTCCTCTCATCATGAGGTGTCGAGTGCGCTCAACCTTGAGAGTCGACAATGTTGTTGTGGAGCATCTGGGTGGAGCTGGGCGAAGCTTTCTGAAGGGCCCTGGACGAAGCACTGGGTCACGGTCACCATGCCAACCCACAGGGAGTAGAGCACGCATGCCTACGCTGCTTGTCCTCTGTTCGGCTTGCTGCGCTGTTAGATGGGTACTATTGGGCAGGCCAGCCCTACTGGAAAGACGAGCACCCGGCGTCTATAAATAAACACGGGAAGGGGAACCATTGACTGTGATCGTCGTCCGGCTGCGACGTAAAATAATTTCTGGAGTCACTTGGGGGCGGACTTTGAATTGCCCCTGGATCAGTCAATGGTTGGAAGGCTCGCGGCATGCCGATGATAAATATACGTGCAAGGCTGGCCGTCTCAGTGGATACTCGGGGCACAGGGGTGGGCTGGACACACACCTTTAGACACGCATTGCCCTCCAGATTGCTCAGGGACGCTGACGTCAAGAGATACTCAGGGGAATTAAGGAAAGGGTTGATTCCAGGTGACGAGTTCGAGAAAATTCCATGTTGTCCTATACACACAAGTGATTCTATTTTTATGTTTTGATTAGTTAGATGGACTGCCATTGACATCTGACAGACAACATTAGTTATACCTGTTGATTGTTCCTGGTGTTTCTGTTCGCGGACTAGTCATACTAAAAATAGTTTCAGCTGTAGGAACCTGACTTACCTGTTGACCTCAAGTGATATCTGCTCCGAAATAACCACCAATTAGTTAGTTGGTCCGTGCACTATGCTGTGGTAGACATCTTGAATGTTCTAGTGTAGACAGTGCACAGCGCTGTAGCCTATGAGCGACGAGGACCTTGCGATCAGCTAGGGGCCCGGTAGCCCACGTGTCTTTAGGACCGGAGGGTGATAGACATCTGTTCCGCCAGCAGAGGGAGAGACAGCGGGCACAGAGGAGGGGTAGTGGAGCCGAGGCCAGCAGGACTCTAATTAGCGAGGCCGGTGCTCCAGCAGCCATGGCCACTACAGCCATGTCCACTTCTGCGCAGCAGACTTCGCAAGCCGGTAGTTCAGGTGTCGTCGGGTCAACGGTCGCGCAGACCGTGAGTCAGTCCACTGGCTTAGTGGCAAGCCAGGCAGCGGTGTTGACTCCAGAGGATGTCGCCATCCAGCAGGCAGCCCTGCAGGAGGCACAGCTACAGCGGGCATTAGGGGAGATAAAAGCAGAAAAAGAAAAGATGATCAGGAGAAGAGCCAGGATGCAGCGAAGAGGGGCAGACATAGTGGAGTTAGAGACGATGGACCTGACCAATATGGATGATGATGTGAGGGTAGTTAGGAGGGCCCTGCTAGGCGTTATAGAGATGCAAGAGCATCAAACTACCATCCTTCAGGACATTCAACAAAGCCTGGCCGTTTTGTCAGGCCGTGCTCAGGCAACACCATCACCAGCCGGGCCTGGTGCCTGGCCTTACATATCCTCCCTTCTCTGTCCCACCGGTGACTGGGGTATCCCCATATGTAGCCCCATCAACGGTTGCTATCGTTTCCCTGGGCATGCCGCTGTCAGGAGGGGTAACAACAGCGAGTAGTTTACAGGTTCCCGTATAGACAGTGTTCACTCAAAGTCCGTTGCAGGTTGCAGTCACCACGCAGCCTGCTGTCTCGCAGCCTGTGCAGCCTCAGGGCACGCAGCCCCAGCAGTTAGCACAGCAACCTGTGTCACCGGGTCCACAGGCCGGAGTGATGCAGGGACCGGGACAAACTCAGTGGGTTCCGAAGACGGCCATCGCCGCTCCCAAACCTTTTACAGGGGATAAGAGGGGCAAAGACCTCGACACATGGTTGAGGGCAGTGCCGGTCTACGTCAGGTGCAAACTCACTTTGCCGCACGAAGAAGTGTGGCTGCCTCCTACCTCGAGGGTAGTACAGCGAGATGGTTGAGCGGTTTAGTGCAACTTTAGGGATATGGTCATGACTTCCGCGCCTGGGCGGTCTCCCAGAAATTGGAGGACTTCCTGAAGATGGTGGAAGAGAGGTGGCATGATCCTCAGGAGGCCCAAAGGGCCACTGACGCGATCCTGACACTGCACACGCGGCAGTTTAAGTCAGTAAGGGAAAGCCACCGACGCTGTTGAGCGTCTGATCTGTGTCCCTGGGGTGCGCTATGATCCCCAGGTCTTGTTGACTTCGTACCTGAGATGCTTTTCTCAGCCTCTTAGGAACCAGTTGGCAAAAGAGGCCAACATCAATATGCACAACTTCCCTTCGTTTAGCAAGGTGGCCCTAGACCTGGAAGCAAAGATAGGGCATGGACAGGCACCCACTACGGATGGGAGAAAGAAGACACTGCCTCCCAACTGGAAGGCGAAGGGTCGCCTAATGTTTGTCGACAACGATGGTTCAACCATCGAGTTGGACGGCAACCTCCAGGAGGGAGTAGGTTGCTTAGACGCTTTAGAGGGTGGAGTGGTCGCTGCTGTAGCACAAAAAGGTAAGGCGACCAGTAGACGCCGCGGAGGCTCCCGGTCTAGGAGTCAAGTTGACCCCAACGCTCCTCCTTGGGAGAAAGCGGGTCTCACGGAGGACGTGTGGAGAGACCGTTACTCTCGGCAGGCCTGTATTCGTTATGGTCAATATGGCCACAACCAATTCAAGTGCCGCAACAAGAAGGTAACCGAAAAGATCCCGCCTACGATGGGGCAGGTGTTAGGATCCTCTCAACCCGTTGGATGTGAAGTTGCTAGTACTTCTGGCAGTGCTCCGGGAAACACGTCGGGCCAGTAGGAATTGTAGTTGTTCCTGCTAGGGTCAAGGTGGTGGAGACATCCTCACCATCTCGAGAGATGGCCCAAGCTACTGACTCCAGCGTCGTCCCGCAAGCACATTCAGACCCATTGAGCGTCTGTTCGATGAATGTGTTCGAGTCCTTGGAGGAGCTAGAGGTAGAGTGGTCTAGATCAGACCCGCTAGCTTCTCGGGCAGCACTAGTCAAAGCCCCGAAGGGTGAGATGTTCGTCAGCGAGGTAGTCATTGGCGGCCGCAAGGCCGGGGCCTATTATGACACTTGCTCGACGCGGAACTTTATTAGTCGCGCGTGCGTTGAGAGATTGCGCTTACAGGGGCGAGTGCAGCGCCTGAGTCGACATGTGGAGTCGACCTGTGCCAACAAACAGCGCATGGTAGTTAACGACTACCTCCAGGATGTAGAGTGTTGTTTCCCGTACGCGGGAGGGGACTTGAAACATCGTGTCTCGTTCCTAGTGAGCGATGAACTCCCCATGGACATGCTGTTAGGTATGTACTACCTCTTTGTGGCACAGCCCCAGTTTGATTGGGACCGAAAAGTGGTCAAACACATCTTGCCAGGTGGAGGGACCGCCATATTACACAAGTTCAAAGCTAGTAGTCTGATTGAGTCCTACGGGTGCATGTGTGCGGCCGCGTTCTATAATTATTATAAGCAAAATCAGGAGGAGGGTATTTACTTAGTTTATGTCTCTGCTGCAGGCGAGCCGGTGAAAATGCCGTCGGAGATAGAGGGAGTAGTTGCTAAATACCGTGATCTATTTGAAGAGCCTACAGGGGTTGTTGAGAGGGGGGTCGTCCACGCGATAGAGATTATCCCAGGATCTAGTATTCCGAAGGGTAGGATCTATCGGATGTCTCCATGCGAGCTTGATGAGCTTCGTCGCTAACTCAAGGAACTCGTAGAGAAGGGTTCGATCCGACTGAGTGTCTTTCCTTATGGGTCTCCAGTTCTATTCGTACCTAAGAAGAAGGAGGGTACTCTTAGGATGTGCATTGACTATAGGGGCCTCAATGCCATCACGGTAAAGAACAGAGAGCCCCTACCGCGCATCGATGATTTGCTAGATAGAGTGCAAGGGTGTCGGTACTTCAGTAAGATAGATCTGAAGTCCGAGTACCATCAGATTGCAATCCGGTCCGAGGATCAACACAAAACCGCCTTTCAGACCAGGTACGGTCTGTACGAGTTTGTGGTGATGCCATTTGGCCTGTGCAATGCTCCTGGCACCTTTCAGCACGCTATGAATCGGATATTCCATGACTACTTGGATAAGTTTGTCATCGTGTACCTTGATGACATACTTTTTTTAGTAAGACTGTCGAGGAACATGTTGCACATCTGGACAAAGTCCTCGGTCTCCTGCGACAGCACAAGTGCAAGATCAACAGTGAGAAGTGTGAGTTTGGCCGCACCCGTGTCTTGTACTTGGGTCATGAGATCTCCGCGGAAGGATTAAAGCCTGATGACGCGAAGGTGGCCAACATTCGTGATTGGCCACGTCCTCAGTCTGTGACTGAGATGAGATCTTTCTTAGGAATGACAGGCTACTATAGGACTTTCGTTAAGAACTATAGCATAGTGGCCGCTCCTTTGACTGATCTGACCCGCCTTGACACCCCATGGAAGTGGACAGATAAGTGCGAGGCTGCTTGCAGACATTTGAAGCATGCGTTGACGCACTATGAAGTCTTGAAACTTCCTGATCCTGACAAGCCGTTCATAGTCACCACGGATGCCAGCCAATATGGCATTGGCACCGTGCTCGCGCAGCAGGAGGGGCCAAAGTTGAGGCTAGTAGAGTACATGTCCAAGAAAATGCTGTCTTAGAAGTTGGCTAAGTCCACTTATGAGAAGGAACTCTATGTGGTGTACAAGGCTCTCACCCATTGGAGACATCTCCTTGGGAGGTTCTTCATCCTCAGGACTGATCATCAGACCCTGAGATGGATGAGAACTCAACCGGTACTCTCTGACGCTCTCAAGCGTTGGATCGAAGTCATTGAGCAATATGACTTTGACCCTCGGTATCTCAAAGGGGAGTACAACAAGGTTGCTGATGCCTTGTCGCGCAGACCGGACTTCTCAGGTGCGTTGATTACTGAGTTCGATCTGACAAACAATGTTACTCAGTCTTTGGTGGAAGCCTATCGCGAGGACCAGTTTATGTCTGAGATCATACGCAGACTTGAGGCAAATGATAAGAAGACTTCCGCCGAGTTTGAGTTGGTCAATGGCTTGCTGTTCCTAGAGAAGGCAGGGAATAAACGCTTGTGTGTTCCAAATAGAAAGTCTTTGCGTAGTTTGTTTTTAGGCGAGTGTCATGATGCCACCGACCATTTTGGGTATAAGAAGACCGCATCCAACTTGCTGCAGTGGTTCTGGTGGCCCACGATGATGCGAGATGCACAGCTGTACGTGGAGACTCGTCATCGTGGATAGATTTAGTAAGTATGCTAGGTTAGTAGCCATGCCGGAAACAGCAAAGACGGAGTACGTGATTAGAATGTTTAAAGAGAATTGGGTCAGGGACTTTGGTCTACCAAAGTCCATTGTTAGTGACAGGGATGTCAGGTTTACCAGTGAGTTGCGGAAGGCCGCTGCTGCAGAGCAGGGCACTCGGTTGCAAATGACTTATGGGAATCACCCAGAGGTTAACGGCCAAGCTGAGCAACTGAACCGCGTTGTACAACACCTGTTGAGGCATTACATCAAGCCCAACCAGGTGGACTGGGATGAGAAGCTTGCTCTCATCGCCAGTCTGTATAGCAACGTGATACACAACGCCACTGGGGTGAGCCCGAACAGTCTATTACCGACTTTCAAACCTAGACTACCTCTTGACTTTCTCCTACCTGAGAATGAATCAACTGCTGCACCGGGTACGTTAGAGTTTGCCTACAGATATGAACAGAAAATGCAGCAGGCGGTAGAACCGATGCAGAAGGCACAGGCAGCAATGATAGAGTCCGAAAACAGACACCGCCGGCCTTCTACATTTCAGATTGGGGATAGAGTCTGGGTTAAGTCGTCAGAACTGGGACAGGAGTACGGGATATCCCGCAAACTCATGCCTCGGTACTTTGGACCTTGGGAAGTCTTGGACATCGTCGGGACAGACCCGGATGGGCCATCGTATGTTATCCGGATTCCTGGTCATCTTCGTACTCACCCTGTCTTTCACACCTCCAAGCTGGCACCTTTCAAAGAAACTGAGCAGTTTCCATCTCGTCGCTCAATGCTGCCCCCAACCATGGACGAAGAGGTGGACATTGATGATATTGTGGATCACAGAGAGCTGCCCGTATCAAGACCAGAAGGCAGGGGACGTCCTCCAAAACCGAAGCTGCAGTACCGCGTTCGGTTCCGACATCACACTGATCCAAAGGAGGACCGCTGGTTCACCAGGGAAGAGCTCATGCAGACCGCTCCTCAAGTTGTAACTCAATATGAGAGATCTATGCAGAAGGGAAAGCGCCCTATGATCGAAGATTGAGCTTCTCAGAGGACTGTTGAAGCTAAGGAGGAGGGAATGCGAGGCCATTGCCTCTAAGAGCCACATAAGGCCCCATTTTGCAGCCCTTCGGCCGCCCTAAGTGAAGGCAGGCTCGACAAGGCCCTTAGGGCCCTTTTTCTGGCCACCACGCAACTAAGGTAAATTCAGGCAGTTGCGCAGCGCCAGTTGGTTGAGTGCCCCCAGGCCCTGGGCGGCCTGTATGAATGTACGTGAAGCAGGCCCGGGGCCGGATACGGGTACCGGGCCAAACACAGGCCGAAAGCAGTTGGGCACATGCAACCACTTCAGGCCCAAGGCCCCGGGCGCCTGCCTCCTCATTCGAGAATTCGGGTGCTGGCTGCATGCTGCGCAAGCGATGCTGCTGCGCTATTTGCTGGCTGGCGCCTATGCTCTCACGGGCGAGCAAGGAAGGAGCACACAGCCCTAGCCAAGCTGCGCTGCTGTAAGCTGGGTGAAGCGCAGGGTGGTCCTTGGGTGCTAGTGGCATCTGTG